CCCCCCCCCGGGGGCAGCGCCCCCCCCCCCCCCCCCAGGGGAGGCGGAGGCCAAGCCCAGGAGTGGAGCCACGTCAGGGAGGGAGCAGGACGAGGGGGGCGCTGCCTCTCGGTGGCCTGTCACCTTCCCCTTGAGGACACTCTCCGAGGGGCTCCTGGGTGAGCAGCTGGCCGACACGGGAGGTCCGTGTGAGTGCGCTCAGGCCAGGAGTGTGGTGGAGACACGTGGCTGTGAGCGAGACCAGCCAGGCGCCAACGTGGGAACTCAGGCTCCTAATGAGACTCGAGGCGCATGGAGCTGTGGTGGTGGAGGCCGCGCGTCCGTGGGGGAGGCATGTGCCAGCTCTGGGACACGCCCCCCACCCGTGGGTCTGCCACGCCCACGCCAGGTCAGTGCGGCGGCGGGAGCTCCCCTTCTGTGGCACGCAGCCTGGGGTCCCTCCCTGTTGGGACGTCCATTCCCCAGGGTTCCCGGGGACAGCAGCCGCCACATACACACACTCAGGGACGCCAGTGGCTGCTCAGGCCTCGTGTTCCAGGGGCAGAGGGCACGTGTGGCGCTGGGTCCACACCCCTCCCTGTGGACGCGGGTGCTTCGGGCAGGCTCTGTAGGCTGGTGTCCTGGTGATGTCCTCTGCGCTTTGCCTCGAAGGGGGACAGGATCAAGTCAACGTTTTTCGTCACATCCCCAAAGCCTGAGCTCGGGCTGCTCAGCCTGAACAGCAGGGGACCCGTGGGGCCGACCGGTGGCCGTGCCCTGGGCTCTTCCATCCACGTCACTGCCTGCACGGCTGACCATGGCACCCGTCACGCGGGACTGGCTCCCAACATTCGCTGAGGGTGCCAGCCTTCCAGGAATAGGCGGGTTCCCAGGGGCCCTTGACCTTCTGGAGGGACGCAGTGGGTTTCCCAGAGGGGACCCCATGCATGTACACACAGTACGTTCACATATTTGTGCGAAGCCGCCTGCCCGGGGCCCCTGCCATGCACCCATCACCAGGCCCTGGAGTGTCCCGGGGCAGGTGTGACAAGGCCTCGAGGACACGACCAGGTGGGAAATTGGCAGCCTCCCCACTCCTCCGCCCAGATCCTCCGTCCCTGCGAACATGGGCACCACCCCTCCCCACCAGGCCCTGTGCTGGGCGCGGATCCAGCCCACCCCTTCCACCTGCCCCGGGCTTCCCAGCCCCACGGGCCCCGGGTCCTGGGCCGAGATGTCCTCCCTTGGGGGAAGCCCTGGCCCCATTTCTTTGTCGCGACCCTTGTGGCATCTGTAAGGACAACTGTGGGCGAGGGAGGCCAGTGAGGTGGCGCTTGCAGCTTGGAGGCCGCGGGGGGCCTGGAGGAGGCCTATGCAGAGCCGCTTTGCAGGTGAGATGCAGGTTGAGGTGCGTCCGGGATGCAGAAGGTCCCAGTTTTGAGCCAAGCTCATCGGATCCAAGTCTGTGCTCTCCACTCCATGTGCTGGGCTCTCGAGGGCAGCCCGCCTGTCCGCACGTCCTCTCCACAGCTGCCCGGGAACCCTCCCTCCCCAGTTGAGCGCTGGCCGGCCTCTCGCCCTGAGCCCTGGTTACCTGGTGCCCCGAAGACCACCTGGATCGCCTGGGTCACTGATCTCATCAGTGGTCCCGTCACCTGTGTGGGGCCTGCGTCCTCCGTCACCCGGCAGACTCCTCTCCCTCCGGGCACAGCCTCGCCGGCTGCTGTCTCCTCTCTGAGATTCTGTTTCCATGGCTTCCTGGCATGAGGTCACAGCACATGCATGTCACTACTGTGGACACAGTGACCAGGACAGGGCGAAGGCTCCTCCCGGACCAGCCCCCAGGCTGCAGGGTGATGGGCTGGTCCTCCGCCACTTCTTCCTGTAACGATGACTCTGTGCTTTGCGACAGGAAATGTTCCCATGTTGCACTCGGGAAGGTCGCCGTGCCGGTTACATTTTCTGATGCTTTGGCCACTCCTCCCTCTGCTGTGGGTCTGTCTCACTCCCACTGGCTCTGGGTCCCCTTGAACCTTCCAGGTAGGACGTGCCCCTGCACCGTGCCCGCATGGCGCCGGCCTGGCGAGGCTTATCGGGGCCTCTGAGTCCTCGGGGCGGCTCAAGGAGTGCGCGCTGGCCGACGGCAGCTTCTGGTCATAGTGGTCACTGTCCTGGAGCCTCTGCACGTGAGGCCATCGGAGTTCACGTGCCCTTTGAACACAGCTCTGGTCCGCTCACCAGGTGCTGCGGCCTCAGTCCTGCAAACGGCCTGTGGGTCCAGAGCTGAGCGCTGAGCCCTGCCACCTGCGTGCAGAGGGTGAGGTGTTTTGCAAACATGCTTCGTGGGGCTCAGGTGTGTGGCATCTCCAGGCCTCTCCACTCCAGGCGAGGGACAAGACCTGGTGTGAGGACAGCCGTGGGGTGGGGAGAGCGCCTGAACCGGCCGGCAGAGTGAGCAGAAGGGCAGACGGCCAGGACCCTGAGTGAGGACAGACCCTCAAGGAAGGCCCGGCCCTCAGGCAGGCCCATGTGGCGCATCCACGGTGCGCACACTCCCGCTCTATCGCCAGGCTCCTGCCCAGGCCGGTGGGACCCCGAGACAGTGCTGGCTCAGGAGACAGGCCTCGAGTCCACGCTGTGCGTCCGCGTGGTGACGGGGGGCCGGGGTGGAGGTGCACTCGGCCTCTCGCTGCATCAGGGCTCGGAGTCGGTGACCTTCTGCAGGGACATCTCCCATTAGGCGTGGCAATGCCACGGCCACGTGAAGGCTAGGTCAGCGTGTGCGGCGCGTGCATTTCCCTGGAGAACTAACTGCCACGCGTGCGCTCACCGTGAAGCCACGCCACGGTTCTCCGTGGGAAGCGCAGTGCTTCCATGTCCCGTTGGGCCTGAGACCTCAGCTGTAAGCGCGGCTGAAATCGACACGATGTGGACACCAGGAGCCTCGACGCCCTCCAGCCAGCGTGGCGGAGGCACACGGCCCAGCGCTGCAGCGACTGAAAACCTGACCTGTGGTTGAGTTTCCTTTTCTAAAAGGGACAAATATTGTTGAAACAATTTAGTGGATTCACTATCCGGCCACACACGTCTGTGAGGAAGCAAGTAAAGGCAGGTGGCCCTGTCCTGGGTGTCCTCCATCCCTGGGGCCCCGGCAGAGGGGAGGGCGCAGTGGACCGTCCTCCATCCCTGGGGCAGAGCAAAGATGTGTGTGTCCAGCTCAGCAGCCGGACAGTGGGCTGCTGGTCTTGGCCTCATTTCAGGCTACCCCCCAGCCGCATGGCGCATCCGTCCCCACATCTGGTCCAAATGGCCCGGCATCCTGGGCTCCTGCTCGCAGACTCGGGCACCCCAAGACAGACGTCTCCCAGTGCACCCCAAAATGGACACACCGGTGACACCATAGCCTGTCGGAGCCTTAGGGCCTCTCCAGGCCCCACCTCCGGGCTCTGCAGTCATTTTAAGTGAAAATGCGGTTTCCTGTGTCCCCCAAATTCATATGTTGAAACCTACCCCCCACGAGAAGGCGGCTGACGGTGAGGACTGAGGGGCGATGAGTCACCAGGTGGCCCCGTGACCAGATTGGTGCCCTTGTACTAGTGAAAGGGACCCAGAGGGCCCTCTCCCCTCTACCACGGCGGACAGAGTGGGAGGCCCTCCACCCGACTCCAGCCTCGGGAGCCTGTGGTGCTGTCACAGCCGCGGACACACTGGGACCTGCTGTCTGTGGTCCTCCATCTCCATTGGCGTTAAGTAAACAAGTCAGGGCGTCCCCACAGAGGGAAGCGCTGAACCATCACAAAGACCGAGTCTGGGGCAATGAGGGGCCCAGTGCGTGTGCTCTGGCCGAACATGCGCCAGACAGGAGGGAGCCTGGCTGCGACCTGGCAGCGAGCGGACCCTGTGCCCGGAGGAGATGGCGGCGAGGAGGGCCGAGTTCTGAACGTCTCTCCTAATAAAACTGGGTTAATCACGTGCCAGCGGCAGGACACGGCCACGGCACGCGTGTCCCGCTGAGGACGGCACGCTGGGGCGGGCGGGACAGGGAGCAGGTCCACCCTGCAGAGGCCGCTGGCGTGTCCTCACGGAAACTGCCCGGCCCCTGGGCCTCCTGCCAGGCCGAGCCCTGCGCCCTCCCCTCCGACAGTGTCCCTGTGCGTCACGAGCAGCATGCGAGCGACATTCACTTACCCTGAGGATGCTGGGCAGACTGGGGGAGGGGCAAGTGCTGTCTGTTAGTTGGAGGTTAAGAAAGCAGCGCACAGCAGGCGCTAATGCATGCTATCCCCACCCCGGTAGCCTGCAGAACCTCTCGGGTCCGCACGTGGGGCTGGCACTCAGGGCAGGAGCAGGGCACTGAGTCACACCGGCCACTCGCTCAGAGGAGAGGCCCCAGCAGAGGAGCCCGGTGTGGGGCCACACCCTGCGTGTCGGCTGCGCAGCCAGGTAAGGGGCTCCCTGAGCCACTGTCATGACGCGACAGGACGCGCAGGCGGGGTGGGCGGGGTCTCGGAGCTGGTTTGGGCCTTACCAGGACCATGTGGCCGGTCGAGATGTCCATGTTGGGCAGCACCGGCTCCTCGGACCAGGACGAGGTGCTGCTCCGCGCAGAAGGGCTGGGCATCGGCCCATCGCTGAACTGCGAGGACACGCTGTTGATGCGTGACACGTGTGGGGCCTCCGGGCGGTCAGAGGTGTGCACGGCCATGCGCTGGCGGCAGAGCTCCTGGGAGATAGTGGGAGACGCGGGCGTCAGTGCCACCTGGACAGACCGCACACACACACACAGACACACACACAGCACAGACCACACACACACACAGCACAGACCACACACACCACCACACACACACACAGCACAGACCACACACACACACACAGACACACACACAGCACAGACCACACACACATACACACACACACACACACACACAGCACAGACCACACACACACACACACACACATACACACACAGCACAGACCACACACACACAGCACAGACCACACACACACACACACACACACACACATGCTGCACAGACCAGATACACCCCCCAGATACTCACATACCTACACGCACACACAGATTCATACACACAGAGATATATACACATACACAATGCACAATCCATAGATACACACACACCCAGATACTCACACACTGCACGCACACACAGATTCAGAAAAAGGGCCCCAGCCAGCGCTGTGGTCACCCCGACTCGCCTCACAACTACGCTTCGTGCAGACGCCTTTCCTTTGCTGTTGGGACGTGGCCCGGGGTGGGGGTGGGGATTTGCATTGTGGGCAAGATATGGAAACTGGTCCCAAGTCAGGGGTTCAGGAAAAACACACAATTCTTTTCGGGTCTTCCCTTTCCCCCCAAAACACCACCAAACGGATAAAAGCCCGCACAGGAGAGAGTGAGTAAAGGCGTGCGGGAAGGAAAGTGCACGGCTGACAGGAAAGTTTGCGTCCGATGTTTAAGGGGCAATCTCAGGGTGGGGCCCGAGAGGCGCCAGTCAGCTCACTCCGTGTCTTGTCCACAGGTGACACCCTAACATGTCGCGGCGGAGAGGACGTGGCGGGGACGATGTGGCCCACACAGCACCGGCCTATAGTGCTCAGGTTCGCGGGCCACTAGCCGAGTGCCCAGCACGTCTCCATACAACAGGGCCTTTGGCAGCATTCTAACACCGTGCCGTGAACTCCCTGTTCTGCCCGGGAAGGCATCACGTGACTGGGGCCGGCAAAGTTCAACTCTGTCAAGAAAAGGTTACGTGCCCTCGCTGGTGTGGCACATGCCTGGGTTGCAGGCTTTCCTTGTCCAGGGACAGCGTGGTCACCTGCATGATGGGCTTTCCGTGTCCAAGGCCTGTGGTTTGCACCTGTGTGCAGCCCAGCTGCTGCCCGGGCCGGGGGCTCAGGGCTGAGCTTTCCTGGGACTTGGTGAGAACAAGGTGCCTCCGGGAAGACAGCAGGCGGCCATGCCCTTTGCCACTCCGGTGCCAGGGCTTCCGCTGCCTTGTCGCCCTCACCTGGGACGTGGGAAGGGACAGCACACTCATCCTTGTCAGGGGCAGTGGCATGAGCATGGTACAGGCAACCACTCCCTGTGTTGGCTTCAGAGTGACAGTGCCGGAGGCCGGCTGCACACCTGGCCGGGGCCCAGGGCCTGCCACCTGGTGCCGACACAGAGGCCACAGCTGTCTGTCTGTGACAAACGGGGGGACTCGGAGCCTTGACTTTGAACGCCGCATTATTATGGGATGGGGATCTCCCCGGCTCTTCCATCCGGCCCGCAGCACAGAGTCCCTCCACGCGGCAGGCACACCTCTGGGACACAGCCGCGCCCCCTCCTCTCTGCCGCACGGCCCTCCCCGACAGTCACAGGCACCTCAGGTGTCCCAGGGGTGCAGCGGGAAGCAGCCGCCCCTCTGCCTTCAGGTGTCCCGCGTGGCTCGCGTTGTCTTCCGGGATCGTTGTGAGCATTGCTGAGAGAGGTAAGTCCTCTGGTTGCTTACAGCTTGTGGATTGGTAACAGAATTTCCATGTTTCCTCTGTACTGTTCCTTGGACATTGACGCTAAGGAAAAGCTAACTTGTCTTTAAAACAGAGAACGACGTAGACGGGCCCTGTCTGCCCAGCCGAGAAGGCGGAGCGCGGGCTCAGCACTCCCGGGGCCGGGTTCTGTGAAGATTGCCTTCTGCAGCCGCGCCTCTGGACACAGCGACTGGTGTGAGCGGACTGGACAGCTCAAGCCGGGCCCATCCCCCGACGGGGCCAGTGAGGGACACAGCCATCTTAAAGGCAATCGCAGTCCACAGGGTGACAAATGGAGGCGTGACCCTCTGACCCCTGGCAACAACCGAATGCGTGGGCTGGGCGCCAACACCCTGAGGTGATTTGAGGCTCACGGCACTGCTCCCGCCTGGGCACAGCTGCCATCCCCCTGCCCGGCTCCCTGCCTGCGCCGGCGTTTCTTATGCGCCACGGAAACAGCGGTGGGAGCTGCCATCGCCAAGGTGCCTGCTCTGTGGGTGACGCTCTGCTCCGTGAGCCCGGAACGCAGGGCGGGGCCACCCGTGGAGAACCTCCCACTGGAGCGGAATCAACCGCAAAACCACACGCCGAGGAAACGTGGGGACGCCGGTCTGGTTTCACATTTTCCCAATTTATAATCCTGGCAGCGACCGAAGGGGCAAAACCAACACAAAGTCCCGGGTTAAGGTTCCGGAGACACAAAAAGGAAACCACAGGCTGCCCGAGGGGCTAGCGGCCAGCGCCCGCGATGCCTGCTGGGGCCCACGTGC